GTCTGGGTCGGTGAGGGCAGTCTTAGGGATTCTTTGGTCGGGCTGTTTATTAATGGCTCTTCGGCAGTTTCTTGACCGGGGTATTGCTTACTTGATTGTAGGTCTGAAGATGACCTTGGAGTTAATCTATACTGATTAGAGTTCTGGAAATTGTATTTCTCCTTAAGAAAAATAAAAACAAAGAAATCCCTGTAATACACAGATCATACTATGTATTAATGGATCTGGATTATCATCTGAATGGAATTTAGATTTTCTCTTGCAACAGAGTAACAGAATGGGGCATTTTTAAGCCCATCATCTAGCTCTGAGGTCTGCATCACAAAGGAACAAATGTGCCCTGGGCCATCTCTTCCCAACACACATTCTCTTTTTAAAATTATTTCTTTCCAGAGATGGTAGAATCCCATTTCCACCTCTGGCCTCAAGTGGAATCTAGGAACAATGTACTGGAGAAAAAATAGCAAAAATTGGTCTTTACTACCAGTTAGGATTGCAGGCTAATGCAAGCAAAGCTAAAGAAGGCATTTAAAACTCACACATTTATATAGAAAAATTATCTAATGGGTTCCATATCGTTAATTCCTGGAGAGACCACAGACCTTTTAAATGGAATATGACTAAATCTACAGACTGACTTTTCAAAAGGGTTTAACTCACATATGGAAACCAATATGCAAATAAAAGAAATTGTCTATCTTATTTTCATTGACAAATTTCATGGATTTCTTTCACTAATCAATCAGTTTCCTCACCTAGATTTCCTTACTATTTCTTTATTACACCAAATAACATTCAGACAAAGTTTGTTTTTTTAAGGTGGCTTTTATTATTTCCTTCTAACTGTTATTTCAATTTCCCATAGCACCTTGGCAATGTCAAAAACAAATACAAATACATGTATAATCTTAACAATTAAGCATGAACCTACTTTACACAATTTCTTGGATTAGACAGCTTTGACAACAGGAATAAACCAAACTGATAATAGATAAGCCAAATAATTGAGATATATATGAAGCTATCACTCTGATAAGTGAGACTAGATGTGTCACAGAAGTCAAAATTTTGGGGGGAACGATATAGCTAATTAGTTTGTTTTATTAAAACAGAAGCCATTTGCACACCAACACTTATATTTGAAATTTCTTTGAGGGAAATTTTATCCATAACTGATTTTTTTTTAAAAAAAAGTCATTAAATAAAAGTGTTGAAGTTGTTAACAGGTTAGTTCAGAGGCTGATTAATTCCTATACTAAATCTTAAATCTACATTAATACACTCATTCCCATCTCTTCAAGAGTCGAGGGCTGAAGATGCAAATAACCTTCATCCAAAGAACAAAAACAAGGGAGGGGGGAATCAGAGGTACCATCCTAAAGAAAGCCAACACTATATAATAGATTCTCTCTCACATACACACAAGAGCATGATAGACCATTACAACTGATGGTGATCTTATGTTTCAGAAGAAAATATCAAAAGTTAAAAGAAAAACCTATTGCATATTTCTTGTAATCAATAGTTTACAAAAGTTTAAGCAATCCCCACCCCGAAGTGCATTTCTGTTGCATTTTATCAGTATACAATGTTGCATTTTATAAATTTAAAATAATCTGTACACATGTAGCAGGAATTTTTACCAAAGTGAATGTTCACTCGACAATAAAAATAGTGGATATATTCAGACATTTAGCTGATACTGATGAAGTAATAAGGCCATAGCTATTTAAATTATAGTAAAGCATTGCTTAAGTCACTTAATTGCTACTGATTTTCCCACATCTTCAGGTCAATAAGATTTCAATTTTAATCTGTTAAAACAGCATCACAACTTTCCAAGCTATTTTGGGGAAAAAAGAAGAGAAAACAAACAGAAATACAAATTTCACGCATAGAGAATCTTCTTTTCCCTTTTAGAAAAGTACAATACCTTGACTCAGAATTATTGACTAAAACTAAAGATACAGAATGTGTAAAAAAAAACCTCGAAATTTCCTGCTAATGAAGATCTCCTTTCATAAGTTCAGGAAACAAAGGTCATTGTGATCTTTATCATCTTGCATATTATTGTTTCATCAAAAGTTTAAGGGTAAAAGGCATGTACGTCCAATGGTGACTTATTAAAAGGGAAATACAACTGTTCTCTTAGTTGATAAGTTTTGGCATTGATGCTCTATGAAATGCAAACATCAGCTACATCTCTGTTGCTCCAATATTTACAATGAAAATGCTCTTTTTATTACATTTACCAATATAAATCATACTGGCAATGTCATTTACATTCAACCATTGCCGAGACAGAAGATAATGATTTACAAGTTGGTCAATATATCAACTTTCAGTTTTAACGATGTTGATTTGCTCATTTACATTTAATGCACAGCTATGCAGAAAACAAACACTACCAATATTGCACATCCTTACAGCAAGATAGTAAAATTGCCCTGACATTGAATCTAAAAACCTATTGTGTCTCATTTCTAAAGTAATATGGGAAGACTGATGAAAATCCAATACACTTTTTGAGAATGAAGAATAATGATTAGCCCAGATACCTTTGTCACTCAAATGTAATTCCAAGTTAACAGCCTATAGCATATGGTTCTTCTTCTTTTTTACTTCATCATTCTATCTAACTTTACAGATTTAGGTATTTATGGTAACAAAATAGAAAGGGATATTGGAGGAGAATGGAGTAGATGTTAACTGAGGAAACGCTTATCAAACACTTCAGTTTTAGTAAATCTCTCCAAGGTATTAATCTGACATTGGAAAAGCTGCTTTTACACACTTTACACATACATTGCACAAGAGCCACTTGTGTAGGGAAAGCACACATGCACAGACATAAGCTTCAGGATGTACAACGCATCCTTTCCCTCAATCACTTTTTTTCCCTCACAAGAAAATGTCTGTGAGCTATATTTGCTTCAATATCCAGTAACGAAAAGAGTTACATTTTGTTGATCTGTCTTTGAATACTAGATTCCATTCCAAACAGAGTTAGATTTCACATCCTTGCATTGCCAAGTAACTTTTAAAGTAGCATCTTCCCACAGAATTGCATTCTTCTTGAAGAGGAAGCATTTTTTAAATAACTCCTAGCAACTGTTAATTCAAATCCATCTTTAGTTTGCAATGACACAGTGCTTTATCTATCCTAAAAACAACTACAGTATAGCAGTTCAACCTTTTTTCCATTTCAAGTGCAATAATCAGAATTATGGGTCTTTTAAAATGAAGTATTTATACATTTTTCAGAATTCCTAACATTTTAAGTACTTCACCTTTTGTGTCATATCCAGAAAAAATAGCATTATGAGTAAACCAAAGTGGGTTTGTACTTAAGAGACGTGATCAGTTATTTGTTTTAATGTAAAAACTGCCAAGGCCAGCAGTTACTTCAAAATGAGAAATGATTAATAACATGCATAGAAAAAGAATATCAATTGCCTAAGTACATTTATACTTCTCAATCTAATAAAAAAAAGTGATTGCCAAGCTGAATAAGTTAGAGAAATGAAAATAGATATGCGTGTTCTCAAAGCCATTGATAGAGAATGCCTACAGAATAAGAAACTGCTGAAACTTTTCTGGCTAAGAAAAATCAGAAGATTACCATTTTCACAGTTAATTATTTATCTGCCACTGACATTTTAAAATTATCACTAACACACAATCTAAAAATGCATGGTGGTATCTCACAACTGAGTTTTCCAGTGTTTACAACTAATGTCTTTAAATTTGTATATTTTGCTACCAACTAAAGAATCCAATATACTTTCCCCTAATACTTTAATACAGAACTTTGAACTCTAGCATGCTGATTTTGCAAGATTAACCTGTTGTAATTGTCCTAGTTCTTTTCTTAAGTTCTATAATTATCAGCTTGTAAACCACACTGCTTGTTGCACAAGGTTATTCTAATTAACATAAATCTATCCTAATATTCTTGCCAATATTCTCCAAAGTAAGTTAATTTTCACTTATCAGCTCCATCAAACAAGGAAACTTAAGAATCCTTGTTTTTAGTCTCCCCATTAAATAAAACCTGATTTCTGGTATAGTTTGAAATTCCTTCAAGTAGAAAAAGTGTTTTCAGTATATCAAAGTATGGCCCCAGCGAGGCCCCTCTATTTGTTAAAGTGAAGTCAGACCTCCAAAATTGTCTTGCCTCTTTCTAGAGTAGGGGTGTCAAACTCGATCGCATCATGTGACTTTTTTTGTGAATTTTGTTGCTTTTCCGGAGCCGTGGCGGGTGTGGCCTGCGCATCTGGCCTGCAAGCCGCCAGTTTGACACCCCTGTTCCAGAGAATTGAGAATATCAAAGAGCTGAAAATCTCAATTCAATGCACCAATGTAATGTTTACTATGCAGTTTCACATTCCCTATTTTTAGTTCTGCATTAGTGTCAGAATAACTACATTCCAGCTAGATGTGCTTAATTCTGTAATAAAGGATAAGAAAAAATATTGAAGCAGAGGAAAAAATAAAACAATGCTATCCCTAATTAGAAAAAATACTGGAACAAATCTTACCCACTATTTCTTGTTTACTAATCTTGCTGTTTGCATACTCCAGAATAAAATCATAGTTTTAAAAGCTGACCAAAATTAGTTAAGTCAAAGACTATTATTTCCAAAACACAAAATTCTACAGTAGTACAATCAATTATCATCAGTGACAAAATCATGACATAACAGGTAATATGGCTACACTCATTCATACTGACCAAGCATGTTAGTTTTGGGGCTGAATTGTAATGCAAGGCCATTAATGGCATACATGTCATCTTACAAGCCATACCTTAAATAGATTTTTAGAAGTAATTTATAACTTTTACAGTTTTTTCCAAAAAAAATATTTGCCCCCTCTTCAAGTAAGAAACATGCTAATATGTGTATTTGTTCCTCATTTTTAATAAGCTAGTTCTTAATGCAAAAATCTAATTCAAACAGGAAATTAAAAACAGAAAGTTACAAAAATTATAATCTTTTATCATATTTATATTGATTCTATTTCTCCAGCATTTTGTATCACTTCGAGATGAATATTGGGATCCCTTTAAGCTCTCTCACATTGCAAACCCTGTGCTCTTGAATTTACTGTCCACTTTCCCTATATTTATATTTCTCTGAGCTGGCCAGTTTCTCCTCTACTGCTCTTTAGTTCACAGTTCTGATTAAATAAAAAGTTTGATCAATTTTCCTTTGGTGATCGCGGTGGCATATACTGTTCCTTGCCAACTCGCCGAGGCGCTCCCTGAGGAGAAGACCTACGTCCACATTGGCGCCTCTGTTCCCTGATTTTTCCTGCAGCTCCTTTGGGAGGCCCATTGCCTCTGAAAACAGCCAAGTCATTCATCCGTCCTTCAGACTTTTCATGTGCCTTCTCTCCAGCCTTCTCATGGGTGCCATTTTCTTCTGTTTTGGCAGGAGAGGTTACATTAGAACGCAGCTCCCTAAGTGGCTGAGCAGGAAGAGACGGTACTTCTTTTGGAGGTTTCTGACAGACCTCAGCATAACTGAGCTTCCGGGGTTCCTTACCGAAAGAAAAAGGCTTTAGTATGCCTCTAATATAACAAAATGCTAGTGACAATTTAAAATTAAAGCTATATTTAAGCAATTGTACATACAGGTAGTCCTTAATTTACAACTAGTTGCCTAGCAACTGTTTGAAGTTATGACGGATCCTGAAAAAGCTACTTACAACCTAATTTTGAAGTTATAGTTCCCGCAGCAACCCTGCAGTCATGTGAACAACATTCAGGCGGATTCACTCTTGTGACCGAACGTAGGAACTGTAGCCTGATCTCCCTCCTCATCCTGCCCTGCTTGCTTCCTCAACCCACCGACTCCCACACCCTTCTCCCCAGCCCCATCACCTGGCCCTTTATCTTTTAGTGTAGATCTTCTGCAAGAATCCTTGCTACAGCATGGAGTACCCAGTGAGGTAGGAAAGTAGGCCGAGGGCCTGAAGGCACCTCAAGGGAGCATAGGATGCCTGGGGGTGGAGGGGACCTTGAAAAGCTTAGGGTAGGCAGGTCTAGGATAGGCTTTCAAGGGCTTTGCCCATCCCTAAGGCTCCCTGTTCTCCACTTAATGATTGTATTTGGGAGAGATGGGATGGTGATCATTAAGCAAGGAAAGCACGTGGACACCTTGCTTAACAACCATCAGGACTTGCAAATGTAATGGGCGGACTCCATTACAGTCATAGGTTAAGGACTACCTGTATTTGTTCTCCACTTTCATCCAAATGAGTCTGACGTTTTTATTTCAGGTTTTTTTTTTCCAGGTTAAATTGTGTTACCTCTATTATATCTGGAAGGTGGTCTACTAAAACTATCCAAAAATGACTGAAAGCAGTATCTTACCTGTATCATTACGACAGGCATTGTGTTTGCATTGGTTGTGGATGAAGTGGTATTTGTCCTTGGTGGTTTTACAGTACTGGGGGGGCATACAGAGGAAGGTGGAGAAGTCTGACTTGCAGCCTCCTTGTGCACATGAACCTCTTCTAGTTTCTTCTCTTGCTGAGTGGCACTAGAAAATCCATTAACAGAATTGTGTGACTTCTTGCAGATTCAAAACTTTTTTTAAAAAAAATCATAAATGAATTGTTTTGAAGCACAGAGACATTTTCTAACAGGTTAATTTTCTGTTTTGGAAATAAAATCAACTATGACTTCTCTTGTTCATGTTTTCAATGTTGGTTGATTAAGACAGCTACCTTAATCAACATTTTTCAAAAGGAACCAAACATGTATAGTATTTTACGTTTGGGGTTTATGTTAGGAGAAAAAAAACTTACCAATTTTGCTGGTTTTAGAACTAAAACATACAAAAATGTATTTGTGCTTCTCTTGCCATATAAAATAATTGGTAATACTTGTAATTGGAAAATCAATCTCCATACCTTAATCCAGGAAGATCAATCCCATAGGGAGAACTGGCATTCGTGACAGACTGAACAACACTTTGGCCCTGCTCTTCCTGAGTGGATGTTAGACAACTAACTGTCACATCTTTGTTTTCCTAAATAGAGCAAAAGGGGGGAAAAGAATATCTGTAAAAGTACAGGTTAAGACTAAACCTGTGTGAATTATTATTACAGAAAAGAAAAATTAGATATCATATAGGCTAAAAACTACCTCACAGCATTGAGATCAAGGACAGACAACTTATTGATTGCCAGAGTAGCAAGGATCAAAGTGGGCAGTGCAATAACAAAAAGAGGAATAAATCACAAATATGAACAAGGCTCAATCCAAAAACATTAAAAAAGGACAAGGGGTTCCATCAACCCTATCATAAGGCCCAGTGCAGCTTCATCTAAGATTGAAGATAGAAAGCAATGGGATTGGGGGAATGAGCTGCTGTTGGTTGATTGAATAATAACAATTCCCCCCTCCCCCCCTCCATTCTGCGCCTGCTCGCCTTCTCCAAGTATTTTTGGTTTAAATGTTTGTTTTTAACTTTTCACGTTTTAGAGTTTATGTAACTGTAAGCCGCCAAGAGTTACCCTATGGTAAGATGGGCGGCCAGTAAATTAGATAGATAGACAGACAGGCAGGTCTCTAATATTCACAGCCACTCAGTCCTGGTAAGCTATATCAGAGTTGGTTTCCTCCTATTGAGACCAACACAGCCTCCAGCACTAGGATAGAACCTGCAAGAATGGAGCCTGTTCTTGTGGTGTTTCGAAAGCCTCATCTCCAACCTTCCCCATGTTTTGGAGAAAGGCTTCTGAAGCACAGGAGGAATGGTGTCCACTTAGAGAATGGCACAAGGTGGCCTTGATAAGAAGGCAGCAGTGTTGCAGTCTCCTGCAGCCACAAGATCGTCATTTGCAAGCTTCACAGCCAGCCTCTCACAAGCCAAGTCAATGAGAAAGCCAGGAATTGGCAAGTCACGCTCATATCTTGTTATGTTCAACACCAGCAGGTAATTTACTTAAGAAATGAAGCAGAACAGACAGGTTTATGTGCAGTTATGAGATGTTTTAATTATAGCCATGTGACTTAGCAACAAAGTTGCAGGTCCCAATTGAGATCATTACTGTTATTTGTTATTGGGTAGTAGTGTGTGGCTGAAGAAGTGTAAGCCATGTTTTTCAACAATTTTTGTTGGATGTGAAAAGAGCACCTTGGAATAAAATTTATTTTTCCTACACTGTACTGGTGGGCAAGCCCAGAATGTACTAAGGCTTTGATTTCTTGAATTTTACAGTATATATTTATATATAATCTAAGCAAAAGCAACTTTTGCAAAAGCTATCTGCTTTGCTTTTGTTACTATGGGGTTTTTATTCATTATATCCACATAATCAGTGTATATAGGAATAGAAATAAAATAAAATGTATTGCTTGAGTTCAAGCAAATTTAGTAGGGATGAATTAAGCATGTTTAACATTGCCAAATAATATAAAGATAAAACAATAATGACATGCAAGATTAAAATTGAGAAAGAGAGAGAGAATATGAAAAAAAATAACAAGGAAGTACCTTTTCTTTGCTTATTCCTTTAACTATATCTGACATCCTATTCTCCAGAACAGGATCTCCTTGTGTTTTAATTATGCTGCCCGGCAACGGAGGGAAGTTTGAGGCTAGCAAGTCAAACTTTGGCGTCAAAGTCTTGGTTTCAACTGAAGCCTGAGGGCGCTAAAAAAGAGAAGTAGCATATCTATTATTCTCATTCATTTCGTCTGCAAAAATCGGAGAATGCCCTTAGCCATTTGTATCCAATTCCAATATTAGGGAGCAATTTAGCATTGGCAATTCTGGAGTGGATGGAGATTCAAAAACTGAGTGACTCTAGAAGATTATTTGCTACAGCTCTAGATGAGATTTGTGTTTCCCAGAAACAGCTGTTATTCCAACAGGGTATGCACTCCTCTTAATGGAGCAAGTCAAAGCTGCGGTCAGGAAGGCCTTTGCCCAGTTTTGGTGATGCACAGATGCCAACTTTAAAATAGACAGTGCTGACTAGTCACTCATGGCCTTGGTACTTAAAACTGGATTACTGTAATGCAGTCTATATGGGGCTGTTCTTAAAGACCACCTAGATTAGAACCTACAATTAGTACAAAATGAAACCACTCTCATATTTACCAGGACAACCCAATATTGACATATAACACAAATATTCCAACTGCACCCTTTGCCAGTTTGTTTCCAGCCGAGTATAATTCAAGGTGCCGACGATCACCTCTGAAGTCCTACATAGCTTGAGACCTGGCTTTCTTCGAGGCCTCCTTGTGATGGCATCTCCAGCTAGATTGGAGGGAGGTGTTATGATCATCACTGCATTCCTGCAGTCACATGATCAACATTCAGGTGCTTGGCAACCAGTTATTTATGATGGTTGCAACATCCCGGAGTCATATGATCACCATTTGTGACCTACCCAGGGTTCGCTAACAAGCAAAAACAATGGGGAAGCCAGATTTGCTTAATGATCATGGGAAAAAAGGTGGTTACATTTAGTGCAACTCACTTAATGATCGCATCACTTAGTGATGGAAGTTCTGGTTTCAATTGTGGTTGTAAGTCAAGGACTACATGTATACCTGATTCTTACTTCAAGATTACAATCCTAAGGAACCTCTTATATATTATTTGAACTGAATTATAGCAAATTGAGTTCCAATGAAGCTTCCCCCATGTCTTCCCATTTTATATCTTCTTTAGTTTCTTTATCGTCAATATAACAGGTTATAGTCCATTGTGTCGTAAAGCACTATGAAGCAGTATATAAGTCTAAGTGCTATTATTATTGCTAATGTGCCAAATTTATCATTCCAATGACAAATATTCTCTTTTTTTGGCAAATTCTTTTTTCTTTTATTCTCCTAGAGCAAGATTTTTCAATGACAAATATTCTCTTTTTTTTTGGGGGGGGGGCAAATTCTTTTTTCTTTTATTCTCCTAGAGCAGGGTTTTTCAACCGGTGGCATGCCACTGTCCAGCAGTCCCCTGCGCGGCCCAAGAGGGACGGCGAGGCTCCTCTGGTGGACCATGCCTTGGCGCCTACCCCAGTCCCTCCACTACAGACCCACGGATCCTCCCCACAGCCCCGCCCGCACCTCCCACAGGCGCCCTGCACCTATGCGACATTGAGCTGGCTATGGCCCCCCAGCCATTGACTTCGCTTGTCGAAAAGTTGCAAAAGGGGATCACATGACTCTGGGACACTGTGACCATCATAAGTATGAATCAGTTGCCAAACATCTGAATGTAAATCACATGACCCTGGGGATGCTGCAACAGTCATAAGTGTGAAAAATGGTCATAAGTCACTTTTTTCAATGCCGTTGTAACTTCAAAGTCACTAAGCAAACTGTTGTAAGTCAAGGACTACCTGTACTTTGTCACTTTTTCCCTTTTTTTTGTCATCAAGTTTTTGATACATTGCTAGGTGACTGGTGGTACTCAAACATTGCCATATCCTAAAAGTGGTACAATCTGTGAAAAGGTTGAAAAGCCCTGTCCTAGAGAATGTGTCAATTCAGGTGTTCTGATCTGTTCAGAGTCCTGCCGAACCATTTCCTGTTCCAGAATACTTGGTTCTAGGAAACTGTCATATCATCTACAGAACTGGGACACTGAAACATTGAATCTCTAAACTCATGAGTCTGAATACTTCTAATAGGAAACAGGCCTCACTGTTACACTTTCTGATTCACAATGGACACTTCTGTGGAACTCACCCTGAAATACTACTGCTTATCTTTGCCTAAAAAGTTGACAATGAAATAAAAAGTTGACAATATTAACCGGCTTGAAACATATGCTGGAGAGGCTTTAGTAGTACAGGAACAATCACACGTCTGTAGCTCATGAATCCAAAAATACATATTTGGAAGTAAGTTCCCAGGTTTTCTGACCCCAAAGCAACTTATTTTGCCTGGCTATAACTCTTCTTATAATTACATAAAGGTTCAGTTCTTTTGATGAGAGCTTAGGTAGAAATTGCTGGTGCTTAGAAACTGATTCTAGACCAGGGGTCACCAACCTGTACCCACTAATGGGCCATGGGCTGTTGGCCCTTGGGCCACATGAGTGGCTAGCCAGCACACATGTGTGTGTGTGCTCGCACCCTCCCACTCGCACTAGAGTCACAGTGTTGCACAGGGGCTAGCAATGTCGTGAGCGTCAGGCGGGAGCTAGCATTGCCACGAGCACATCCCACACACATGCTAGCATCGTGCCGTCTCGCAGGTGCTAGCAATGCCGTAAGCGTCTCGCAGGCACTAACATTGCTATGAGCGCACCCCACTTGCGCTATTGTCGTGGCATGTCGGTGCTATTGTTGCTGCAAGTGCAACATCCCCACTCGTGCTAGCACTGCGGCATTGCACAGGCGCTAGCGTTGCCTGAGCATCACCCAGGCGCTTGTGGCCCTATCTGCATCGCACATGCAATCACAGCGTTTGGGCGCATGCGACCCCTTTTGCATGTGTGTGCTCATACGCGTAAAGGCGCCTCCACCACTCCCACCCCGAGCCAACCCAGAAAGGTTGGGGATCCCTGTTCTAGACTATCACTGGTTTATTTATTATTTATTAAATTCATATGCTGTCCATCGAGCAACTCAGGTCTGTTAAGTCTGGTATTATGGTTATATCTGCATTACAGAATACAGGTAATTCTTGACTTATAACCTTAATTGAGCACACAATTACGGTTATAAGCTGCTGTTAAGCAAACATGGTCAGTAAGCTAATCTGTTTTACAGAATGGAGTTTTTCGGGTGGAAATCACAAGTAAAACAATGGAAGCTGCAAAAACCATAAAAAACTGTGGTCACATGACCATGGGATGCCGCAAATGATTGTAAAGGTGAAGTGGTTCCCAAGTGCTCAAAATACAATCATGTGGCCACAGGATATGTGTGCTGTCTGTGTGTACATGCAGTCATGGGAACTTCAAAATAAGGTCATAAGAACCTTGGGGGGGAGGGTTCCATCATAATTTCAAACACATATAAGATGGATTTCTTTGCTTGTGTGATAATGTTTCTGCAGCCATACAAATGAACATTTAACAAACAGAAAAAAGTAAGATATGTGATACTTCTGAAAGTTAGTTTCATTTCCTGAATACTTATTGTAGTCCAATTTATAGTGCAAATGTGTTTTTTAAAATTCACATACAATTCTCACGTTAGCATGGTCTTCTAGCACCAGAACATCATTCTCAATAGCTGGTGACTGACATGCCTGCAGTAAAAGTAAACACTTACTGATAGCCTTTCATCGTCCCGTCTCCTCCGACCTCTGAAAATGTTTCTTCTGCAAGTTAGCAAAGAAAAGCTTCTGTGAATATGTTTTATGTTTATTATGTCATATGAATTAATGACATTAATGACATAATCATACAAAGACCTTACCTGCCTCTTCCCATGCCATAATCACCATTTTGTTCTACATGAGTAATTTGAGACTCCTTCTGTGTGTAGCTGGGCTCTTGATGTCCTGATAGTGTACTTGCTTGCCGCTCTGGCTGAAAATTTCGTAAAGTGGTTCTATGCAAGTGTCCATCACCTACTGAAACAGCACTGAGTGTGGCGGGTCCTTCTGATGAGTGTTCTGAACTATTTGACAACCGGAAATGAGTCTTCACACTGGATTGACACATTAAAAAAAGTGAATATATAAATTCTTGCCACAACACACATAAATTTCCCTAAAGACCTCAGAGGAAGTTGATGTTCTAAGAATCAAGGAAATGTGCCAACATTTTTTTGCTGATTGTTAACTACATACCGGTAAATCTGTTTGTCAAGAACTGGTAAGCACATTTCTCCAAATCAATTCCTAAATGGTATTATCCAACCACAACTCTTCCCTAGTTAATTTATAAATATATTACTAACTTAATACTGACACAGATATAGATATCAATAAAACCAATATCATATGAATAGAAATGAATCATAAAATACAGATGAGTTTTCAGTAAAAACAGAACAATATTCAGTAAATCTAACAATTTCCAAAAATGCTTCCCATCAAAAAAACTCTTTCTTGCACCTAAGTAATGCACTTTAAGTTACAACTCTTCAACCACGTAAAACAAGACTGTATATGGATGGCAAGTGTATTGCTATGGATGTTAAAGAGATTACACAGAGCATATACTGAGGAGAAAGACATGACCATACAGGTATGCAATATCACATTTTCATATTACATAAACTCTCTCCACTTTGGCTTACAATCTTGTCCATTCCTTTCTTAAATTCAAATAAATATTCTCACATTTATTTCATTTTCATTTTCTTTTCCTCTTCTAGTTAGAGTTGAATTTAAGGAATAATCAAATGCTTCCTTTTTTCATTTGGAGGTTGGACGGCCATCTAAATTTTAGACAACCAAGGATCTGTATTTACCTTCCCACTATCCCTATTTGGTGGTATAATAATATGAAACTTACTGTTGATTGATACCAACAGATAGTCCTCGACTTACAATCATTTGTTTAGTGACTGATTGAAGTTACTACAGCACTGACAAAATGTCATACATTTTTCACACGACCATTGTAGCATTCCCATGGTCATGTGATAAAAATATGGGCGCTTGGCAATTGGCACATATTTATGACATTTGCAGTGTCCTGAGGTTATGCGATCACCTACTGCAAACTTCTCACAAGCACTGTCAATGGGAAAACCAGATTCACGTAACAGTGTTACTAACTTAATAACCACAGTGATTCATTTAACAACTGTGGCAAGAAAGGTCGTAAAATGAGGCAAAACTTACTTAACGCATATCTCATTAGCAACAGAAATTTTGGGCTCAACTGTGGTCGTAAGTTGAGGACTTTCTGTACATAGGATAAAACAAAACAAATCTATTTCTTCCTCCTTAAGAAGTTCCAATGCAGAGTTCCAATCCTTTATCAAGGATTCTTAAGCAGATCTGAAATAGCACATCACTGCACTAAAAGAAAGAAAGAAAGAAAACTCTGCCAAGCTGCCAAGGGCAGACTTTTTAAAAATGTGCTTTGACCTTATAATATTGCAGGAATATTTGTCTCTCCCAAAGGTTAACATACCTATTTGGCACATTCTGGGATTCCCTCCTGCCCCAATCCACCAAACTCTTGGTCCAAAACAAGCAATTCTTTGATTAAATTTCAATGATGTACATGTACTGCCAAGCTTATGTATTGCAATCTCAAACTGAAAAATGTGAGCACAGGTCTCTAACTGCTTTACTGAAGTTCTTTTACAACTCAAAGACAGTTTGTAAAAGAACTGGTGTTATTTTCTTTCTGCCACCACTCATTTATCTATTCATTCTGTTTCTGCATCATCCTGTCTCTGTATCGTTCCAATTTTAGTATATGTGCTGCCGAAGCGAGCACATGCATCATCCTGTCTCAATGATACCACAATTTTGTTAAACTGTTAAGGTTATAAAACAATGCAACAAATAATTAGCATGGCTGTGAAAATTTACTTCTTGGGGAAAATAAGAAAACAAATTCTATAAGCAATTACCAAATGAAGAATTTTCAGTTTTGAGAAAAAATGTTTCAAAAATATTTTCTTAAAATGACCTGTTGTCAGAACATGCTTAAAAAGAAAAGAATGATTTGGGTATCATAACTACCATAATGAAATTAACTAAAAAAGAAATGAAGTTAAGTTTTAGATTAAAACAAATGTAGACCAAAATATTGCCATGAGTAAGTTAAAAATGATTCTTCTCATCAAACATATTATGCAGACTAAAAAAAATCCAAAACAAAGGGCCTTTTTTTGCAGCTGGTAGTATCACAACCCAACTAAATTTCCTGTAGATTTTAACAAAACTACTTTTAGATATGAAGAAAATAAAATATAAAACTGAAGAAAATATAATGCACATATAAAACTGAAGCAGGAGTTGACAGGAATTCACAAATGAGCATGGACACTTTTATTGAACCAGTTTGGTCTCTGTCCAACATCAACACAGGAGTCCACTTTCCAAAAATGTTGGCACCAACTTTCCTTACCGATTTCTATGGAATGGGCGACCTATACTCAATGCTGCAGTATTTGTCTTGTATGAACCTGGAGAACTGAAGCCATTCAGAAATCCACCATTCGGAAACGGAGCCTGAAGTAAGCATGACATATATCATGAGATTCACTGGAAACAAATAACTGAATACCAATTCTCAGAACTGTAATTTTAACAGATGCACACCTAAAACCAAGGAAGTACAGGCAGCCCTTGCTTAATGAATAGTCACCGTTACGATAGAATCTTCCAAAAGCTACCTATGATCCAGTTCTGGAGTTCTGACAGCGTATTCCCATCCCATGATCAAATTTCAAGCACTTGGAAACCGGTACACCTTTACGGCCAGTTACAGCATTCCGCAGTCACATGACTGCAATTTACTATGCTTTTGCTGGTTTCTAGCAAAAACTGCCCATAGGAATGAATGGATTCGCTTTATGACCACAGCATTAGCATAAAGACTGCTGCAAGAAAGACCATACATTTGAGTTGGTCACGTGAGAGGCTTGACTGTCATGACTTACAACATAAATTCCAGGCTCCATTACAGACAAAATCAAGGACTACCTCTTTCTATTACACCTGTATAATTTCCACAATAATTGTTGTTACAATATAGAATTGGATGCCTATACATTGGTTGGAGGTGTCCCCCAATTTATTACTTTTGAAAGTATTTTTAAAATAATATTGATATAACAGTGCAGTCAAAAGATAAATGCAAACCAGATTATCATTTAAAATAAACACCTGCTCATGAAACACAAGCTTTTGTTTTGGAATCAACAACCCTGTGGCGTTCCAATATTTAAACACTTCAAAAATATAAAATTGGGACAATGCAAACTGCATTTCATTATATTCACTATTAATACAGATCTAACTTTATTTTCTATTAGTGTTCTACCAATACAGATAGTCCTTGACTTACGGCCATAATCGAGCCCAAAATTTCTGTTAAGTGAGACATTTGTTAAGTGAATTTTGCCCCATTTTATCACCTTTCTTGTCATAATTAAGTGAATCACTGCAGTTGATAAGTTAGTAACCTGGTTGTTAATTGGATCTAGCTTCCCATTGACTTTGCTTTCAGAAGGCTGCAAAGGGGATCACATGACCTTGGGAGACAGCAACAGTCGTAAGTACTGTTTCCCCGAAGATAAGACCTGGTCTATTTTTTTTGTCTCCAAAGGAGGCATCAGGTCTTATTTTCAGGGGATGTCTTACCCACTTACCGTAGGACTGCCGCAGCCAGGCTTCTCACGTCCCGACACCTGCCTCGCCAGCCCACTTCTTCTGCAGCCGCTCGTACCGGTCGGCCCCAGTCTCCATTTCTCCCTCAGAGGCCTTCAGGAAAGGCCTCTACAGCTGAGAAACGAGCTCCGGATTGACACGCGCGGAAAGGCCTGACGACAAAACGGAGGCTGGGGGATGCCACACACATTAATCTGGAGCTCATTTCTCGGCTGCAGAAGCCTTTCTGAAGGCTTCTGATGGTGAAACAGAGGCGGGGGGGGGGCATCATGTGTGTCAATCCTGAGTTCGTTTCTTGGCTGCAGAGGCCTTTCCAGAAGGCCTCTGCCGGCAAAATGGAAGTCAGGGTCGACGCACACAAGCAGTGATGAGCAACTGCCGAAGAAGTGGACCTCTGAGGCAGGTGTCGGGGCGTGGGTGACCTGGCTACAACTGTCCTAAGGTACGTGGGTGTGGGGCGCATGGGGCAGCTCTACACCCACTATCCCCAATCTAGCTTGATTTTTACCCATGCGCCTTGCCCACCTTGTGCAACCAGGTGCAATGGAGTGGGCAGGGTCATAAGTAAGGCTTATTTTTTGGGTAGGGCTTATATTGGGCACTCATGTAAAAATCAGGCTAGGGCTTATTTTCGGATAGGTCTTATTTTCAGGAAAACACAGTAGGAACTAGTTGATAAGCATTGGAATTTTGATCACATGATCATGGTGATGCTGCAAAGGTTGCAACTTTGAATAATGGTCATAAGTCACATTTTCCAGTGCTGTTGTAACTTTGAACACTTACTAAATGAGCTGTTGTAAGTCGAGGACTACCTGTAGTAAAGATAGTTGTTTTATATATTTGATCATGATTAATTTATGCTACTATAGTTTAGTTTCAGGGTAGCATCCTGAATTTGTAAAGAAGGCTTTTGTCTGCCCACTAGTTTGCTCTGCCAATCTAATATAGTTCAACACTTCTAGAAACCCCACTTAGCTATAAGCATAAATATTTTCTATTTGGAATTTAAATGGCTGTGTATAATCCCTGAAATTATCAGTTCTCTTTTTCCCAAGCCACAAAAAATACAATATGCAATTCAAACATCAATTAAATACTGTATGAGGGTCAAATTATGTTCATTATAGGACAAGGGACTTGGTAATGTTTAGCACATAGATATATCTTTTGAAGTAAAGCAAACACTGCAAAGCGCAAACGTTAAGTACTTACCAATGGTGTTTCAAAATAAGGTGCAGGGTTTGGAGACCATGTCTGAGGCACAATACTATAGATGGAGTACTGCTGAGGACTGTATATAGGCTGCATGAACAGTGGTGAGGCAAACTGTGCTTGTGTCTGAACAGGTTGAACATAAACGCTGGAATCCACTACCCGGTAACCATTCTTTGCAAAAAACGTGTTGATGGCTTTTATCCTCGCCTATATAAGAAATTTAAACTCGGCTATATTTATAATACCAGGTATAAAGACTGTTACAGGACACAAATGTTATTATTTGTATTTCATCAGTTTCCTAACAGGTTAGTCTGTAACTTTTACTTTTGTTAAAATTTTAGGATTTGCAATTAAAAATGCCAATTCAAATTAATTCTTGACTATTTCTGCAACCCAATTTAGATTATTTGCTATTTTGCAGAATATCTTGGGAGCAACTGCAGTTCAGTTGAATAGATACACTTTTCAATCGTTGTAACATTAATATTATCAATATTATTATTATTATTATTATTAATGATAATGATAATGATAATAATGATAATAATGATGATGATGATGATGATAATAATAATAATGATGATGATGATGATGTTAGAAGGGACCTTGGAGGTCACCTAGTCCAACTGTTCCACTGATTAATTCTTCTAAATTAAAATTGTCTGGAACAAAATCAAATTAAAATCTAAAGTGTCTGGAACAAAGATTTTTAGTCTCTCCCCATGTTCAATTTTTATCAAGATTCTACCATGACAACATTACTCTTGCCACAAAATTATGTGAGAAATAATCTTTTGTAATCTTATTCATAGTTAACCCTAACACGGTTAACTTTGAATTAAACCTGAACTAAAGTTGGTCCTTCAGAATATTATATCTGACACCCTGTAGAAAAACAATCATAAAGGTTATTATGATAATGATACTAATGAAAATCTAATAGTGATTAAGTTATGAGTATAACTTACTGTTTAAGTATTAAACTATAACTTGAGGTATACATGCGAGAATAAAGCTTACCATTATTGGCTTGCCCTGAAAGGTTTTAACTTCTTCCCGTAAATATTTAAAAGCCTGTATAGATATAAAAATATCCAATGACAGATCAGTATAACAGAATTTTAAAAAACATTAAAGAACTTCCAGGATCGATTTCAAGCTGAAATATAAATAACTCTACAGCACTCTTTTGTTGCTTTTGCAACATTTCAACTTTGTTGTATTTATTAAAGCATTAAGAAAATTACACACCACCTTGCTTTCCCATATTTTCTGAAACAATTTTTTTCTCAAAAATCATCCGTAGATTTTTCTTTCAAAAACAAACAAACAGTAATTCTCTTTAAAGCTATGAATCACATCCCAGAAGTAAAGACCTGTGCAAAACAATATACAGATAAATGATAAAACATCAGCTGGCTTACCTTTAACTGCAAATCAATGTCATCAGTGTATTCAAAAGGAATGCATCTGAAAGTTCTGGAATTTTCTCTAACTGAGCAATGGGAGATTAGAGAGCTTACCCGATGGCAGAGGGGAGGGGCAAAGGAAAGCAAATTTTGCCAAAGGAAGAACCAGCATTGTGTCTGAGGTTGAACACACAATGTCTAACCAAGCTGACTGGGTGATACATTACATTTTACATATAAGTTGTATATATGGTCTGACATTCAGGCATGTTAAAGTCCTCTGAGTGGAGTCTCTCTCAACACCAACCTGCTGGGGAGTTCTGATTTCACCTTTCAGATGAACACAAGTTGTTCTTGCTGGGAACTTGGGGGCTAAAGAAAGTGGAAGAGCTGTCATCCTTGGACAGGAAGAATTTCATTTGGGCTTTTGGAAAACACCACCGTGTGCAGTGACACATCTTCTGCCATTTACTGACTCTTTACAATCACCTAGCTGCTTACAATCATCAATGTCCTTAGCTTTTGGAATACTGAAAGTGGAAGAAATAGATTTTTTGCTGGGATAGATGGTATCAGGGAGTCTTAGGTAGGATTAAGCAACAATTAATGGGCTGCAATCAGTGTAGGTACTATTTGCTAGCTTTGGATAGTATGGCCCAATTGGAGTGCAGACAATTTACGATTTCAAATTCTTTACCATTTTACATGATTTTGGTGAATTTGGAAGTAGGTATGAATCAGTGGAGGTTGGAACCCTGTAAACTAGAATAGAATAGAGCTGGAAGGGACCCTGGAAGTCTTCTAGTCCAGCCCCCTGCTCAAGCAGGAGAACCTATACCATCTCAGATAAGTGACTGTCTAGCCTCTTTTTAAAAATCTCCAGTGACGGAGCACCTACGATTTCTGGAGCACTGGTTAATTGTCCTCATTGTCAGGAAGTTTCTCATTAATTCCAGGTTGCTTCTCTCTTTGATCAGTTTCCAACCATTGTTTCTTGTCCTGCATTCTAGTGCTTTGGTTAATAACGTGACCCCCTCTTCTTTGTGGCAGCCCCTTAAATACTGGAACACTGCTATCATGTCACCCCTATTTCTTCTTTTCTTTAGACTAGCCAAACCCAAGTCCCACAGTCGTTCTTCGTGTGTTTTAGTCTCCAGGCCTTTGATCATCTTAGTTGCTCGTCTCTGAATTTTTTCCAAACTCTCAACATCTTTTTTTTTATATGGTGACCAAAATTGGCTGCAGTATTCCAGGTGTGGTCTTACTAGGGTTTTATAAAGCGGTACTAATACCTCACATGATTTTGTTTATACAACCCAGGATTGTATTAGCTTTTTTGGCTGCTGTTGCTGCTGCACAGTGCTGACTCATGGTTAAGTGATCGTCCACTAGGAGTCCAAGGTCCCTCTCACAGTTACGGTTTTTAAACCAGGTTTTGCCCAATCTGTATTTGTACCTTTGATTTTTCCTGCCTAAATGTAAACTTTATTTTTCTCCACACTGAAACTCATTTTGTTGGATAGGGCCCATTGTTCAAGTTTACCAAGATCTTTTTGGATACTTTGTCTTCTGGGGTATTGGCTGCTCCTGCCAGGTTGGTGTCATCTGCAAATTTGATGAGTTCCTCTTCAATTCCCTCATCTAAGTAATTGATGAAGATATTGAAGAGTACTGGGCCTAAGACGGAATCTTATGGTATCCCACTGCTTACTTCTCTCCATGTGGATGTAGTGCCGTTGAGGACTACTCGTTGAGTATACGGTTTGCAGGCCAGCTACAGATCCATCTGGTGGTGATGTTGTCTATTCTACCTTTTTCTAGCTTACCAAGGAGTAGGTTGTGCTCTACTTCATCAAATGCCTTACTGAAGTCTAAGTATACTATATCTACAATATTTCGCTGGTGTCATGTGTCTGATTAACGAAACACTTAAACTCTATTAGTTTAATCACTTTGTTGAAGAATGAAATAAGATAAAACATTAAATAACCAGGAATAGAGTCAAAGTAATTGATCCTGTATGTCTGTAATAAGCAATTCTGACAAGGAGCATGATTTCTCCAAAGCAAAACTAGATATCTGGGGGCTAAGAGAGATAACCAAGAATCCATTTAAAACTACAGGTCTTAACACAGGTTATTTTGCTTGCTTTTAGAGAATGGAAGAAAAATCTCAGATCAAAATGTAAAGCAAAAGATCCTCACAAGGTCATCAGAATAACAAAAATCAGAATTTTGGTGAACTTGGTTCTAAATATATAGTTTAGGCTACTACTTTTCAACTAAACTAAAGAAAATTCCAGAATGAAATTATATACAGACCTAAACCCATTAATGAGATTCAAAGAAAGCACAAAATATAACAGGTCACATCAAACAGGATTCTTAATACAACAAAGAAATTTCCTAGAAATAGGAGTTTTGTTTTGTTTGGTTCAACAAAAATCTTGATTTGACCAAATTCTAAATAATTTCATTTTCAAAGCTGCAAATACCAGCACATCTGTAGAGCTGCAGAAATCTTATGAACCTAATTTGAAGAACAGCAGTCTATAGAAATGCTGAAAGAGTCTAAAATTCAATGTGCTTGTTTAATAAAAGAACTTCTATGAAGAGCAGAAGAACAAACGATTAAGTTTGCGCTTCCAACTGCAAGCTTTGGACAACAAAAGGAATTATTCCCACACTGAAGAGATCGAACACTAAAATATTTCCAACCACTTTCAGATTAACTGTACAAGAACATGCTTGAAGGGGAAGATAGCAAGAAAATGTTTGCATATGTGCTACTGGTTAAGAGTAGGTCATTTACTCATAGTCTTAAGAAAGTAATTCTCTCATATGCTTTATTAAGATCAATTTCCTGGTGCTGTCACTCTGCCTATATTTTTGAATTTATAAATACAATCTATTTTTATTAAATTAATATATTTAAAATCAGGAATTCCAAACTGCTTTGACTTATCTGAGACACTAGAAAAAAGTAGAATTCATTAGTGCAATGAAATTTAGAACGCACAATATTCTTACCTGCTGCGCGTCAGTATCTGACTGGAATGTAATGTACCAGTTGTTATTGTGAGCAAATTCACAACTTATAACTTTGGGGCAGCTTTCATTCTTAAACAGTGCTTTTACCTCCTGGATTAAATATATAAAAACTATTTCAGTGAATTGTGTTATGTTAACAATTATGTTTAAAAAAATCCTATTCATGCTGGAGGGGATTTTAATTTCTGCAACAATCGCTTGAAAATTACTGTTTTTATTTTAGTTTTTAGTTTTTAAAAAATTACTCTATTCACAGCTAAGAAAAAGTCCTCATTCTTTACAACTAGCAATGCTGATGTGATACCTTTTTTAAAAGGCCATTACATAAGAATGCTTGCTATAAGAATGCAGTAAACAATACAGATATTTTAAAAGTACAATCATAGCCAAATATTTGTTCTCTCAAATCTCTAGCTCAAAACCAAGATGTAGCTCAAATACATTATCATCTCTCAGTTGCAAACTTGTATCAAATATAAACACTACTTTAGCCTACTGGTTATTATCCTGCAAATGAACTTGTGTCCGTATTACATTTGTAATAAATTTTAAAAGACACTTACCTCTACTGGTGTGGTTTCAGGGATCTCACGAAGGATAATAATGCAACGCTTATGATTTGGTCTAACTTTCTCTCCTTGCTCATCCACTTGGACTATAGGAGAAGCTAAATTAAACAAAACAGAACTCTTGTTTATTGAAAATACACTGAGAAAGCAGGATGAAAATCTCTTTCTTCAAATTTCAACTTAGTCTAAAACAATATGCTTATTTGGTCACTGTTTAGTACTCAATGTATACAACTCTGCTCATTCTTCTATTATAGTGTTATCATCTGGCACAAAAGATTTTATGTACTATTTTATATTTATGGGAGTAATGCTCTGTACTGGTCAAAGTTTCAGGTTGTTTTAGAAAATACATCAACTTCAATTTATTACCTGGATAGGGACCAGAATCTCAGTCAACTCAGCAAAGCAGTTAAGCAAGAAGCCCATGTGACTGCTTTACTCAACAACTGCAATCCCAGCATTCCTAGTTGCAGTCATTAAGCAGAGCAAAAGAACTGCTTGCTGGGATTAGCTCCCTCGTGCATGGAAGGAAACTGCTCTGGTGGGCTGAACACAGCTTGGACCTTCAGGATCTAAGCTCCATTTTTGCACCCTGATGAAATTCACCTCTCCTGTGTGTGTGGAAGGGAACTTCTCTGGTGGGCTGTGGGAATGGAGCTTGAACCTTTGGGACCTAAGCTTCATTTCTCCGCCCTGCTGAAGGAGTTCTGTTTCTCTCGGCAGGGAGCTCCTTCAGCCAGTCCTCAGAGATGAGAGGGAGTCCTCTTGGCAGGGAGCAACAGCTTGCAACTTCTTTGCCGGCTTCCCCATTGACTTTCTAGGGAAGCTGGCAGAAAAGAATGCAAATGGCAATCACGTGATCATTGGGCACTTGGCGAACAGTCATATGTACAAATTGTCAACTACTCAAGATGCAGCCATTATTGGTGGGGGGATGTTTTATAACAACTGGAAGTGTTACATGATTGGTTGTAAGTCAAAGTAGACCTCACTTATCATTTGCCTCATTCAGCAACCATTCAAAGTTAGGATAGTGATAAAAAAGTAGTTTTACAATCAATGCCCGCATTTATGACTTTCAGAGCATGCCTCAGTCACATGATTGCTATTCTAGTCAGTATACGTGATCCTGTGCCTGAGCTGTTGATTTCATTTCCCTCTCCACTTCCAGAGAGATAATAGTGTTCTGTAATGTCATGCTTGGCCACATGACCATGGAAATCTCTTCAGACAACACTGGCTCAATGGCCTTGAAGTAGAAATGAGCACTGTCTCCTATAGTCTGCAATAACTAGCAGAATAAAATCTCCTAGGATACCTTTGCCTTTTCTTTTTTTTAACCTCCAGAGAGATGGGAGAAGAAAGGATTACAAGAGGGTTAGCAGGCACACAATGGAGAATACATACTGAAAGGAATGCACTGGTGCCAATTCTGAGCACATACAGTCCAGTGTGTCTGCTCTCATGTAATCCCTTTCTCTCCAATCTCTTTGCTCTGCAGGGAAGTGGAGAGAAAAAATAGGCCAGGTACCCAAAAGATTGCTTTTTTTTCCTTTTTCTCACCTTGGTAGAGCAGAGATTGCTTAAATGGGGAGGGGGGAGGGCAAGCAATATCTAGTTAGTTTTTCTTGTACCTGGCCTGTTTTTTGTCATCCCCTTTTTGTCAAAGAAAGTAAATAAAAACATCAATTCCCTTCTTGTTAATAATCCCAGTGCCAGAGTGATCATTCCAAAGGAGGGTGAGAGGAAAAGGAAAATAAAGAATAACTGGTCCCAACTGTAGTTGTTAAACAAGGACTACCTCTATATCCATTTCTATGTAATAAAAAGGTCAGGATAAGAGCTTCATATAGAATACTAATTATATAGAATTCACACAGAAATGAGATATATATCAAATACAGGTAGTCCTTGAGTTATGAATGTAATGGAGCCTGCCCATTCCATTTATTACTAGAGTATTTGTAGCAGTGAATCTCATACCATGAACACGATTCACTCCCAGCTTTTGCCCACACATTTGTTAATTTAATGTGTGGGCAAATACACGGGGGCCTAGTTATGGAACAGGCCATCTTCAGACCACCCAAGGCCTCCCGACCCACTGAAATACTTCATGCTCCGTCCCCTGGGGGCCCACAATTACTCCCCCCCCATCCTGCCGTGCCAGATCACTTACCTTGTGAAGATCTGTCTCCTCTCCAGTCTCTCTGTTTCTTTCACTGCTCCTGGTAAGAGCAGAGGGAGGCCTCCAAGGCCCAGAACGGACATCTGTAAGCATGTGGCCACCGCCCATGGCCTCCGTGGCCTGGAGGAGGCCTCTGAGGCCCAAAACAGGCCTTTGGAGTCCCACTGAAATGTCCCCTAGTATCCTTTCTGGGTGGCAGTGGCTGGGGAAGGACCTCCAAGGCTCAGAACGGAGGCTGTGGGCAGTAGCCAGGTGCTTCTGGAGGTCCATTCTGGGCCTTGGAGGCCTCCTCTAAGCCTCTAAGGTCCAGAACGGAGGCCAGTGGAGACTTTTGCATACCTCGGGAGGTTTGTTCTCCCCAGCTTCCGTTCCGTTCTCTGTTGCAGAGAACAGAAGCCTAAATTACTGTGAGATCACGCAAGATCAGTAGCGTGAGATCTCATGTGATCTTGCGTTACTTTAGGTCTCCATTCTCTGCAAACACACCGAAGGAAGCAGCGAAACAGCCAAGAAAGTGATGGATCTCTCGATCTTCGCAAAGTAAGTATCCATAAGCCTAGTGTCTAGGGAGACCCAGGAGGGGGGAGGGAATAGCCAGGGTGAAGGTTGCAGTGCCACTGGGTCATTCGTAAGGGTGGCAACATTCGTAATTTCGGGACTTTTTCATAAACACTAGGGGGCACTTATCGTGTAACTTCAAACATTCACTAAGGATTGCTCATAACTTGGGGGTTACCTGTATAGGTAAAGGTAACAAATACGTTAAATATTTTTGACATACCTCTTAGTACTTCCACAATAAGATCCATATTGGTTGTCAGTTTCTTAATTCCTTCCATATTGGCAATAGTCCATATTGGAATAAATTGATCACTATCCATCTGAGACATCAAGTAAAGATCCTTGGATAGATTCTCACTAGAAAAAAGTTAGTAAACATTTTACGGAACTTTTTAAAAAACAAATACTATTTTCTTTTCAAAAATAAAATAAAATAAAGCTACTAACCCCAGAAATAGTTTAAGTAGTTAATAATACAATCCAGCTACTTTTAAAGGATGTACTATTTTTAAACAAAATCCTAATCATATTCCCAAATTAAAGAATCACCACAGCAATATAATCTGATATTATCACTGAAAAATAGTTTCAGATTTAGGATATAGAAGTAGACGGCTGTAAACATTTCAAGTATCTCTTTGCTCCCACTTTACATCACCCAGATTGTTCCAAGCTGATTTTGGTAAGTATTTATTAATGCTTGCCAAACACTAAATTATGGATATCATTGCTGACTAGCTTGCAGCAAAATCTAGTTTTAAGAAAAAAATGGATGGAAAGGGAGTCCTTTATTTCTCTGAATCAACTATATCAGAGTATATTATCACAGCAACAAAAAGTATGCATTTTAGGTCATTAATAATGTGAAATTATGCAAATAATTTGGATCATTTGGGTCATGATATAATTATACCAATTATGTAAATTGCAATGGAATTTGGTCTGTTCCATGTGAATCTCATTACATCCCAGTCCAGCAAATTGAGGTTTTACTTTGAACATCTTTGGCAACTGTATTTAGAATTCAAGTATTCACTTATTTATCCCTAAGAAAGCATGGACAGTTATTAGAAAAATAAACTATTTCTCTATTTTATTTCAGGGTATTTTAATTGAGATGTTTTTAGCTCAATCTGACTTTGCAACTACATCTAGATCTTATTATTAGCACTGAGAGCCTCTAGAGCAGACATGTCAAACTCGTGACATCACGTGACATCGTGCGACGTATCGGAACTTTTCCCCTATTGCCGGCAATGGGGGTGGGGGTGGTTTCATGACGCGTCCGGCCCGTGGGCTGGCAGTTTGACACCCCTGCTCTAGAAACATCCGTCATTAGATTTTCAAATTAATTCCTTATAAAATGTCCACAAAGTATGCCAAGTGACTCTATTTAGCTCAAACTAAGCTCATGAATATACTAATATAATCAAAAGGCACAATACCGTGAGAAACAGAACTCTAATTGTTTCTTCAAGCATTCTTTTAAATCTTCTGTAGAAATGACAGGGTTGCCTTCACCTGAGAAAAGAATTCCAAGAATATATTGTCTAAAACCAGGAACTTCGATTCAGTTTTTATCCTTACTGACAGAAAGCAGTTGTAACTCACTTCCCCCTAGCTCCTAACACCCTTCTGAGAATATGGTGTTGAAAATTAGGGAATTCTTAAAAAGCAGAGGCTGAGTTCCCAAAGCCTCTGCTTTCTAAGAATTCCCTAATTTTACTTCCTTTCTTCTTAGAATTCTTCTAAGAATTTTCTAATTTTACTTCCTTTCTTCTTTCAGCAATGTTGGATCAAATGATATCAGTAGCCAAAAAAGTATTTTTCTTAATGGAGGACTGGTAGGACAGCAGTAGGGCAGATTTATTAAGAACACCAAATTAACAAATGGTATCAAATCCCCAATACCTGGGCTGCATTCAGTTATTTCTAACTGCATATAACAATAATAGAGTTGGAAGGGACCTTAGAGGTCATCTAGTCAGGCAGGAAACCCTATACCATTTCAGACAAATGGCTGTCTAGTCTCTTCTTAAAAACTTCAAGTGTTGGAGCATTCACAGCTTCTGGAGGCAGGTTGTTCCACTGATTAATTGTTCTGTCAGGAAATTTCTCCTTAGTTCTAGGTTGCTTCTCTCTTTGGTTAGTTTCCACCCGTTGCTTCTTGTCTTGCCTTCAGGGGCTTTGGAGAATAGCTTGACTCCCTCTTCTTTGTGGCAGCCCCTGAGATATTGGAACACTGCTATCATGTCCCCCCTCATCCTTCTCTTCATTAGACTAGACATACCCAATTCCATATAGTAATTACTGTTGCTTCTTTTTTAAACTTAACTAATTATACAACATTGGTTTGTAGTATTTATGGTGTTCTAGGTATATTTTGAACAAAGGGTATTGAAAAATTCTTTATAGGATTGCTGCTGTCAGTTAAGGTCTATAAACAACCAAATTGAATTAATGTGATAGCGATAAGAGACAATATAAAAATATTTTTACCAGAAATCTATAACCCACAAATACTTGTAATAGTCTATTTGCCTTTAGATACTAATTCAAATATTTTGAAGAAGAAAAAAACAATTATCACCTGGAAGAAAACCTTACATGCAATTTACACATAAACAATAGAATTAAACAAGCTTTCCATTTTGTTGTTACATAAGCACAAATAATGCAAAACAAGACTATGGCACAAAACTGAATTAGGACACCAAGCTATCAAAGAAGAAATAAAAAATATACATTGGGTTTAATAGTAAATGAAGCATGAAAAAAGAACAAGCCATTTGTACTGAAATTATTTTCAATCTAGTATCCTTTAAAAAACATTTAAAAGAAGAGAAGTAAAACAGGACCTTGTCTTGCCTGGGAAACTAAATTATAATTTTCAACTTTTCATTAAACCCCTTAAACATGGTGTTTAGGGTAGGGACTGAAATTTTAATACTTTAAAAAAATGTTTTGGTGTGGTTTCAAAGCTGCAATATTCTTCCTTCGTATCTCTCTTCAAAAGAAAGCAATTGAAAGAACTCTACCTCAGAATATATACAGAATACCTCCCTGAAGTGGATCCCACCTCTTCCTTGGGCAATTGATTCCATTTATCAATTGTTTTCACTATTAATACATTTTTAATATTGAATTGAAATCTACCTTCTTGTAACAAATCCTCACATAAGAGGATCACAATCTTAATCTGTGTAACATACTTTCAGGAATCTAGGCAGTACTATATGTCTAGTCTTTTCTTCTCAAGACTTAACTAATTTAGGTCCTTCCCTCTCTCCTCATAGCAATTAGAATTTAGTTCCCTAATCATCCCTGTTGCCCCTTAATTGATCCAGTTTCTCCAGAATTCCTTTATAGTACAGAACTAGGCAACTACTGCCTATTTTGGGATCTAATAAAAATAACAAAATGTAGAACTATTAAATATTATTTGGGAACTATGCTTCTCAAACTATATTCTTTTTGCAGCCATACTGCAATACACTCGGTTTGCAAACAACAACTACCATATGATCTTTTTTCATAACCGCTATTATGAATATTACCCTATACAATGTACAATGGTTTCATTTCTTAAATGAAGAAATCAGCATCTATCTCAAGTTTTATTATAAATATTGACAATCTGAGATGAGTCAAATGTTGCCCTATAGTCTTGATAGAAATAACAAAATAAATACAAATGAAGGCGAATACACATGTCCCAGGATAATGTTGCAGGATCCAATCTGGGTTGGTCACCGGGACCAGGGGCTTTGTCTTCCAAGGTTTCAGACTCTTGCTGGAGCCCCCATCCTCAGGTTTAGAAGACTAAACCTCTGGTCCTGGTGACTGACCCAGATAGGATCCTGCAAATAAATAAAAGTCCTTCTTCGAAGGTTATCTTCACATACATATAGTATTGCACGAATCTTGGTTAAATTAATAGCACTGATACCCTCGTGGATATTTTTCATGGGAATGTTGCTCTTTCTGGAGTCTCAAGAATATTTTTTCTGGTCTGTCAATTGTCTTCTGAATAACTACTAAATATAACATATAACGCCCCTTTTCCAGATTCTACCAAAATATTAAGGAATCACCATTTTAGACAACTATGCTAGGTGGATGTAGAAAAATAAACCCCTACTGCCACTATCCAAGCTCTGAGATACCAATAACCTCATGTACTATACATAACTGGTACTGAAGGTATAGTGTGTATGTACTATTCAGAACCTATGTAATATACTGCATAATTAATCAATGCATTCTGAATAACATTTTGTCGCTATTTCTAGTTTTGATCAATGTAGATTTTCACAATGTAGGTTATTTACCCGAAACATCATAGAGTGGATATCCAAGTTCCTCATGTGCTAAGACCAGACCATTAGCAGCTGATTCCTCAGCACATGAACTGTTTCTTGACAATTCACAAGATGAATACATTGCTTCATATTGTTTAGTACAATCCTCTGCAGCCTCAGTATTGCCTGAAAGAGTACAAGAGCAATCAATGGGAAATAAAGTCTGGTAGCATCCCATCCTTATATAAAAAGCTAATGCTTGAGAACCTCTTGTGAGATACCAGGCTGAGCAGAAATGGACAGCACCTGTGCTGCTATAATCCTGTCTCTTTAAGCCCTCTCCCCAGTCAGCATCGCAGCCTTGGCTATAAAAGCTGTGCTGAGAGATAGCTGGTAGTGTTGTGTGGGAGCGAAGCCCTTAGATAGAGATAATTGTCTCAAGGAATAGAAGTATTAAACTCCTAAGTGGTAGTTGGAGTAGCAGTAGTAGGAATAGTTGTAAATTGGATATAATTAAAAGAACCTGTGAGACCTCCAAAATACAAAGTCTTAAAAAACTATACTTAATTATGGAAGTATCGTGTGTGTGTGTGTGTGTGTGTGTGTGTATGCTAACTTGGATGCATCCACCAATTTTGGCTTTTCCCCCAAAATTTTTATATAAATGACAGCTTAAAAGATTGTCAAGGATATTAGACAATTAACAACTACACCTTCTCTCCCCCCCTTTTTTTACAATCTATAATCCCTTCTACCTGTCCTTCATTCTTCAGATTACAGCTGTGAAACAACTTCAAAAGCTTGTTTCAAAAAACAAGTAAAGCAAACCATGATTCAATGTGATTTATATTTAGATCAGTTTTTCTACATATATTTGGAGACAACCAAGACAAGACATGTCAACCAAAGTCTCCAAAGTACCAATGAAAACACCAAAATTTTAAGTGAGCTCCACAATCCCTTGAACATTATTAGATTGTATCTTGCCTTTATCAGTAGCTCAAAGGCAGCAAATATACCTAATATTCTTTCCTTTCTCCTGTTCCCCACAACAACAACCCTATGAGGTGGGTTGGGCCGAGAGTGACTGGCCCAAAGTCACATCCACCTGATTTTTCATGCATAAGACAGGACTAAAATCCAGAGTCTTCTGTTTTCTAGTCCAGCACTTTAACTACTACAGAGAAGTGGCTCTGCACCAACATGAACTACTATATTACATTTTTTACTCTGTGACAGGAAAAATATTAAACACAAAGGAAATAATCGTATTACACGGAAATCTTAGTTTAATGAACCAATTAGAGCAGGGATAGGCAACCTTGGCTCTTTTATGACTCGTGGACTTCAACTCCCAGAATTCCTCCACGAGTCATAAAAGAGCCAAGGTTGCCTACCCCTGAATTAGAGGGAAGAAATATTTGCTATTCATGAATGGCTGCTAAATAAGGAAGGACATTATAGTGGTGGTTTACATCTTTTGAGTGATGGCACCGCACAAAAGATAACATCTATCAATTTACATCATTTTCATGAAGGTGTCATTATACAACTCACATAAGCCACTATATACATTTAAATTTTGTCTGCATATAAAGTCTGTTGCATTGAGATCCAAAAAAAGTAGTATAGTCAATTTTAATTAATTTTAAATTTAATCAGATTAATTTTCTCTGAGTCTGCTCACTGGGACAGTCTCTTTTTAAAGAAATAATTTAAACTATAATGGAACAAAGAGATGCATTGCTAAATTATACAAATAACCACCCAGAGTCACCTTATAGGGAAAATGGACAGCATAACAAACAAAGTGAAAATGTGCAATGGCATGTGACCATTGCTCAGGAAATATAAAGTACATATGTATATTTTATATACATAAGTTATTCTTTTATAGTTTTAATGTTTTTAATAGTTTATAATGGTTTTAAGTAAAAATTATTTTATATTTGCTTTATATTGTTTTATTGGATTGTTGTAGTCACTTTCCATGAGATGGATGGCCATATAAGTTTGATTAATATTTCTATATTCTCTTCTTAGCCTAGGGGAATCAAACTCAAATTTCATTGAGGGTCACATCAGCATTGTGGTTGCCCTCGGGGTGGGGGGGAGGTGGCCGTGGCTGGGTGGGCGCAGCCGAGTGGGAGGGCGTGGCCAGGTGGACGTGGCTGTTCAAGTTGCTCATGTCAGAGGGGGCACCTGCGGGGGGCTGGGGGGGATCTACAGGTCTCCGGCAGATGGGGACAGGACAGGGGTGTGCGCTGGGCCCTGGTCCACTGGAGGACCCTCACCATCCTTCTCAGGCTGCGCCAGAGTCCCCGGGATGGCAGTCCGAGCTGCCTGGGGCCCTGGGAGACGGGGGCAGCTGCCCGGATTGTGTGCCTTCCCCCCCCACCCGTGCCTCTGCCTGCTGTTTGGTGAGCCTACCTGGCACCCGCAACACTCAGACCCACCTATGCTGCACGGGCTGCAGGATCCTGGGGTGCGCCAGCCAAGGGGCTGGCGGGCTACAGCTGCTGCTGGGCACTGCTGGCCCCTGCGTGCTCGCCGCCTCCTTTGCGCGTGCACAGGAGCGGCGCCCAGCCAGTCCGGGGCGATGGGGGCCGGTTCCTCGCTGGAACCGGGCCCATCACGGGCCACATCTGGCCTGCAGGCCTTGTGTTTGACATGTTTGCCTTAGCCTCTGATCACCTAGCAACACTTAGCCACATTAATTCACATAAATATTACAAGATACTTAAGAGTTAGTAATCTCCTACTTAGCAGCTTCTACATGTCAAATATCAAAATGAAGTTTATTCATAGTGCAAATAGCTGATGGAATCAATGGCCTGATTCCATAATAAATTATTTACTAAGTTGTTCATTATCCTAAGGAAGTAGAAAAGATTATACATGGCCCTCAGATCTCATAATCTTTTTGTTCATAGGGTCATGTGTTCACTAAGGTGCAGAAATGAGAAAAAGATCAAGACAAAAGTGAGACAAGAAAAATAAATAGAAGAAAGAGAAAGAAAAGTCAAGAGATCATTTCTGTACATTTAGCAACATGGTCCCTCTTAGCGCGATACTTGTCATCACTGGGCCACTGTACTTATAGTCCTAAGAGAATTACCCTTACTATTCAAACATCTTAACTTCTCCAAAGTTAATGCCTCATGTTAAATGCCACTAGCATCCAGTCTGTTCAAGAACAAGATTTGCTTCTTACTACTAAATTCTGGTACTAGTGTTATAATCTAGAATTCAAACTAAGAAAGGAACTAAGTAACATTTAGATACAATTAGATCTTACCTTCTGTACAATTACCCTGCACAGCTGCTGCCTCTTGCCATGATTGCTCAGTGCCATTAGTTACTGCTGCAGCTTCTGGGTTTCCCTGCATGCTTTCTTGCCATACCTTTGCATTAGGATTTAAGCTGGCACCTTTCGAGGTTACCTGCTGAGAAAACAGAAGATATGCATTAGAAAATAAAACTTCAGAAAATAACTTTGGGTTGTTTTTATTGCTCTTTGCTGTTCAATCATTCTACTCAAGCAATCTACACTGTTTAATAAACAGACAAATAAATACACTTGTAGTTTATCACTGCATGCAACTGAGTAAATTTAGATTCCATGTTATTCCTCAATCTCAAAGCTTTAGAGTATAAAAATATTGTATAGTTCTTCTAGTCATCCAACCATTTGCACATCTCAGGTTTTACTCTTGGTATGTGTGGTAAAGCCTGATTCTTCAAAGATGTTAGGGTCCCCCCCCCCCAATCTTGCTTACAGCCTCTTTTGTGAAAGCCCAAGCCTTGCACACTGAAATAACACTTTCCTGAAAAAAATCACATCCTAAAATACAACACAAGAAAAGCCTCTTTATTAAGGTAGCATAATGATACTAAACAAGCACTGACCATCTTGTCACAGAGAAGCATAAGCCAGAGAATAAGGAAGTTGAATTTCCAGAGTCTAGCCTTCTGGAGTCTCTCTAGCATCAAGGAGTAGTTTTAGTACCATCCCCTGTCCATAGAACAGAAAAAAAATAGGACATAAGGAAACAGTTTGGATGGCCATGAACATACTTTTGCTCCTATAAAAGTTCAAAAATTGTAATAGCTGTATAGTTTTGCAACTAATAAACTACCTACATAATTTGTCCTAAAATCTCTCCATCATGATATTTGAAGGAGTTATTTTGAAAAAGTAATCCATGCTTAGATTGTATTAATTTAAAATATGATACAGAAATTGAGTTTCATCTCTATTTTCCCTTAACATTTGCCCCAAAAACATTCTTAAAAAATAAAATTAATGTGTAAAGCTTTAAAACAAGACTGTTCTCAACATTAATTCCACAAAAATCAACTAACTAATTAAGGACAGCAAAAAAAAAAAAAAAACCAACCCAGAACTTAAGGAGTGCATCCTTGTTTCATAACATCATTAGTTTCCAGAAGCTCCTGTGTTTCTGACCAAACAGTGGTTTCTACATACTGTGTGATTATTATAAAACCCGATTTAATTGGCTAATGTACAAAGAAGTGCATTCCAAAGGCAGAAATTTACATAAAAATTACTGGCATGGTTTAAGTACAAAGTATAAAAGTGCTCAACTTAAGAATTCCAATATTTCTAAAAAAAAGTAGGAGTAAAATAAATCTTTGCTGAGTATTCCTCAGGCATAGAAACAAGGATTGCTTTTTTTTTTCAAGATTCACTTAGTTTATTTATTTTATTTATTTATTTATTGAATTTATATACCGCCCTATCTCCCTTACGGGATTCAGGGCGGTGAACAGACGATAATAAAAACCACAATAAATATACACAAATTTCTGTCTAAAATCAAATTAAATAACAGGCCTGCTCTAAAAATACCCCATACAAAACCCCCACTAAAACATAATCAAACTATGCCAGGCCGGCCGCACGGAATAGATGAGCCTTCAGGGCTCGGCGAAAAAGGCGCAGGTCCGCAACTGTACGTAGGTCGGGGGGTAGGTCATTCCAGAGGGCAGGAGCTGCCACAGAGAAGGCTCTCCCCCTGGGGGTCGCCAGCCGGCATTGTCTGGCCGACGGCACCCTAAGGAGGCCCTCTCTGTGGGAGCAGACTGGTCGAAGGGAGGTGTTTGGTAGGAGGCGGTCTTGCAAATTCTGGATTCTGCAACAAGACTGACATTACCCATGTATCATTCAGTATTAGAAAAAGTACATTTTAATGTAATTATAGAAATATGCAGATATAGTAAAAAGTAAAACATCCGCCTCAAGTATATTAATGTTTGGGCTATATACAGGCCAAAGGGCATTCTTAGAAAATAAAATAAAATTTTAATATATGAGCATTTAATAATGCCCAGTGGTTTATTTAGAACTGACCCAACATATCCAAAAAAAAGACAACAGCATATGCTCACACTTACAATATATTTCTCTTTTAGCAAAAAAGCAATGATTTTGAACAATTCAGTGAATCCCTACCAACAGCACTGCAAATTATCATTCTGAAATACTCTCATTGTTAAAAGAGCAATCCTAATCCAAAATCTTACAAATGGGTAAATAACGCTATGAAGGTGACTACTGTACATATTTTCAAATGACTAGTAGCTTTTTAATAGTTGGCAAGACTTTCTTATAGTACTACTTTTTGAGGGTTTGGAAAAGTTATAAGAATAAACAAACTGCTTAATTGTAAATTAAATTGATGTTTACCAACAATAATCTTTAATGAATAAACTCAAACCACAATTAAAAGCACAAAGTTTCTATATACCAATTTCCTGCTTCTTTTAGCAATCCTAAATTTTCATATATAAGATTCAGCTGAAATCTAAAGCCAACACTATAGCTTGCTTTTACAATGTGCTGATGACCCATGACTGAGCAGCCTTGAAAACAAGAAATAGTGTGGTATGTCCAAATATTCAATAGTTTGGATTAGGAACCTGTTACACAAGTCTATCATTCAGTGAAAACATTTAATATATAGCTTCTATATCAGATATATGGGCCTATATCAGACTATAATATTTTCTCCTTTTCTTTATTGTAAAAATTAAAATGAATGCAAGTAAAATTAGTAACATTCATACATCTTTTACAGTAGTAGAACATGAGAAGTATCCCCCACTCAACAAATCAAGCAGATGTGGAGACAATGTCTATCAAAAAGACTACTCTCTCAAAAGCATGATCTGTTATAATAATCCTAAAATACTATCCCTGAATCGGATATGTCAACAAGTACTGCAGGTTTTTTAAAAAATTTACATCCAATTCAGTTTACATCCAAGTAAACTTTTGGACACAACATAACAGATTCTGAATAAATACAGATAGTCCTTAATTGTGTTCACAACTGGGATTGGAAAATTGTTAAATGGCGTTAAATAGTTAAGCAACTAGATTTTATAACTCTGAAAGAAATGAACTATATTTGTAAATCACAGCAGCCAACACATAATGTGACTAATTTTGTTTTAACTTAGAATCCAGCCTCTAAAGTAGAAATGAATGTAATAAAGTAATTAAGTGTAAGTAAAGTAATTCTAGATACTTCTGGCTATGATCTGCTTAGTATTATTCAGTCAAACAGATATTTAAATTTAGAATATATTTTCAGACATGATCTGAAGACTAAGAAAAAAATTAAATGAAACCTTATTTCTATTGTCTCCATTTTGAATCCTTGTTCAAGGGTAGGAAATGCAGGGATGCTGCAATGGTAGTGTGAAAAATGGTCATAAGTCATTTTTTTCAGTCCCATTGTAACTTTGAATGGACACTAAATGAATGCCTGTAAATCAAGAGCTATCTGTACAGTAATGTTTTAGAGCTAGAATCAACTCATCTCTGCGTGTCCTTGAGGCCCACAAAAGAAGATAACAGAATGCATTATTGTAATTAATGCTTCTTGACTGCAAAGTATGAGTTTGATAAATTAAACTCAAATTTAAATACTTTAATATATTTTCCATATTTTATATAAATTAAAATGTTCGTAATCTGGTATTTTATATCAAACTCAATTACCCAATCATATTTTTAAACAAATGAAGCAAGAAGATCACACACACACATATTTTGCTTTAGTTCTAGGCAGACTTAAGTAATGCTTTATCTGACACCCACATCCCAAAAGAGACTTGACACATCACTTAGGTGATCATTATCAGCCCAGATAATCAAGAAATTCAAGTTGTTTAATATTGGTGCACCAAATTTAATTTTGAGTGGAAAAATCTATCATTCTCCTTCATACTTTCAGTTCTGGTAGTAATAAGCCACAACCTGAAAATATTCATAAGCATTTCCCAATATATCAGTCCTTAAATTATCATAAAATCAAAAGCTACATCTTAGATAAATCCTATATGCTATAAGACAAAACCATTAATAATTTATCAGTACTGGACTTAAGCTAGTTCAAATATTTTCTGAGAGCATTTATGTCAGTTACTATTTGGAGACAGTCTATCTAAATTGTATTTAGTGATCTCTCAAGATTGTTATAACAATGATCACATCTGTTTCAGGGATAAATTGCAACAAACGAAGGAAAGATATATGACAAATATTAGTGGGTTTAAAAATTAGTTAATGTTTGCTAAAGAGGATCAACTTTATTCACTCTCAGGTTAGTTATGATACATAATATTCCACTGCAGAAACCTAATGGAGTCTGGCTTCAAACGAAGCAAGAACCATTTGAACTTTCCTAGAAAAGGGGAGAGTTAAACAATCAAAATATTTTATTTAGACAATTCAGTGGCACTTCTCAGGTTGTATGGGCAAAACTCAAATCCAGCTTTGTAGGCACTAATGGATTTAAATATCTAACTTTTAACAACAGAGAATATTTTATTAAATAACTCAGTTAAACAAACTAGTTGCATCACTGACAATGAAGGGCTGACTTTTAACTCAGCAATTCAGTTAATATTTAAAGTGCAAGATTTAAAATTGCCTTCAAAGAACTATAGACAAAAGTGCATATATAGTTCTTCCATTATAACTGCCAAATATGACAAAACGTACTTATAATTAATTACCTGCTCTTCAAATCCATCGGTGTATTTTAATCAATTTGCACAAAGAATTCAAATACTCAGCAACATGAAATGTTCTTGACTTAACAGCTCTAGTAAGCTGTTTTACATTTTCTGTACAGATTTATTATTTTTCTATGGGCAGCAACTAAACAGCAAAAGAGTTTTGAATCTTTTATGATCCATCATCCTATTGTCCACAATGTCTAGCATGTTTATAAGCCAGCCACAAAAATATGAGAAACAGCATTTTTCTATTGTTCAGTATTAAAATTCAAGATGAGCTAAATCATCTACATTAATTAGACTATGCTGATGCAGCATACAGATTTTAAAAAATCTTTAGTTTTCATTCACCATCATGAGTACATTTCTTGTACCATTCCAAAAACTACTTTGAGAGATCATAAAATGCTCCCAAGTTTGAGTTAAAGAAGCATTAACAGGGTATCATCACCCTGTCACCATCTCTGTAACACTTCTTGAGCATATACAGTATTTTTTCCTGGGGCTACACAGTTACCAGGAAAAGGTAGGGTTTCTTTTAAGGTCCACATATATATATATCAACCACACCTACACTAGATCCAAACTATCTTTTCTATTAAGCACATCTTCCTTAGTAACCCAACTTTATGTCAGCAGAGGTGCCCAAGGATTGTATTTTTATAGTCTTTAATATTTTAAATCAAGAAGAGATGGCTATTTTCTCACCAGTTTTAGATTAGATGAACTAGTAAACATAGAAAGAAAAAAAAGAAAACTATAGGAAAAAACAGGAGAAAATGATCATAGTTACTAGGTAACTATAGGTACTGATCGAAGTTTTAAGATGAAGCTGTAAAATACCTGTACAGTTCGCAAAAGGCCACAAACTATATATTTGGTTCCTTCATTTCAACTAGAGAGCTGCTAGCCACAGCAGAGGAAATACAACCATGGAATTCAGGATTCAACACTAAAGTGGCCACATTAAAAGTAAAATTAATACAGAATTGTTATGAATTATCTTTGCATTACTCCTCCAATAGCAAAAACCACTGAACCAGCCAGAAAATAAAGCCAAAATTTTTTGTTGTTGTGGATTTATATTTTGTTTCTTCCTTAACAACCAAAAAGCACAGGTTCACTCTAACTGGAAGCATTTATCTCCTCTGTAACCC